ATAAGACAAAGATACCTATCATGCCATTATTATTTTAGATTGTTATAAAAATTCTAGAAAATTAAATAACATGTAAAACAGAAATAAGTCATATAGCCAGTTTAAAAGAAAAGATCACTAATTGCAAATAACATTGCTCACACGTGAAAATAAAATCAATGGATAAATAATCATATTGAATAAACTGATTGAATACCAAATAAATGTAAAATTCAGTAATTTAAAAGTTGATAAGTAAGAAAATAAAATGGGGATTTTGTATTTTTAAGAGAATTTCAGACCAGTTATCCTATATGACTCTCTAAATTGACTAAAAACTGGATAAAATATTTTTAAAACATTGTAAGATACATTTATGAGTTGGCGTAAAGGTAGAAATCCTGAGAAATAACTGAATGCCAGAACTTAAAGGATTTCTTCTAATTGTCAGAAGCTAAGATTTAAATTTTAATGGCAGTACAGAAGATAGGCTGTATTGTTAGAAATAAAGTGGGGAGCTTAGTTGAAACATAAAGCTGGGATCCTAGTGTAAGAATGAACAATACATAAACCTGACATGAAGAATTTGGCAAAAAAAGCTGCTTGATTCAACTTTCACTGTGGGTGAAGAAAAATTGTAACCATCATTTTCGTAACTACAAGTCAGCTCTCATAAATGTTTGAGTCATTATTCATGCCACGTATTTGAGGGTCTGAAAACAAAATTTCAACTGGAGAATTTAATTTAAAATGGCCTGAGGCTGGATCCTTCCTGGAAAACTGTGAGTTAAACACAGGCCTGCTGGGTGCAGTGGCTCATGCCTGTAATCCCAGTACTTTGGGAGACCGAGGTGGGTGGATCACAAGGTCAGAAGTTTGAGACCAGCCTGGCCAACATGGTGAAACCTTGTCTCTACTAAAAATACTAAATATTAGCCGGGCGTGATGGTGCATGCCTGTAATCCCAGCTGTTCAGGAGGTGGAGGTTGCAGTGAGCCAAGATGGTGCCATTGCACTCCAGCCTGGGTGATAGGGCAAGACTCCATCTCACAAAAAACAAAACAAAACAAAACAACAATAACAAAACAAACAAACAAAAAACCCTGAGGCCTTCAAGAATTAAAAAAAAAAAACAACTTTTTTAAGAGCTGTTTTAGGTTCAATGCAAAATTGAGAGGAGAGAGATATCCCTCATACTCTATGTCGCAACAATCCAATCAGAGTGGTACATTTGCTATAATTGATAAACCTACATGCATCATCACCCAAAGTCCATAGTTCACATTAGCATTCACTCTTGGTGTTTGGAATTTTACATGTAAGGTTCAAACTAAAATGAGAAACTCACTGGCCAAACTCACAATACCCACAAGCTAAGAGGTAGTCTGATTGAGAGAAAACAGAAGTAATAGACACCAATTTTAGACCTGCATAGATTTTTGATATCATCAGAAACTATAGTTAGAGGAAAAATAAGCTTGAAAATATGAGCAAGAAACAGATGCAATAAAATAAAATCAGTCATATTGGAAAAATAAACTTATAGAAATATAATTTAAATTGAAAACTCAATAGGCAAGTTAAGTAGTAGATTAGAAACAAACTGAAGAAGAGTTTAATGAACTGGAATGTAAGTCTACGAGATTATCCAGTGGCTAGAAAGATAGGAGATAAAAAACAAAAAATAAAAAGAATGAGTTGGCTGGGCATGGTGGCTCATGCATGTAATCCTAGCACTTTGGGAGGCTGAGGCAGGTGGGCTCAGGAGTTTGAGACCAGCCTGGCCAGTATGGTGAAACCCCATTTCTACTAAAAGAAACTACAAAAATTAGCTGGACATGGTGGTGCACACCTGTATTCCCAGCTATTCAGGTGGCTGAGGCAGAAGAATCACTTGACCCCAGGAGGCAGAGGTTGTAGTGAGCCAAAATTGCCCCACTGCACTCCAGCCTGGTGATAAAGCGAGACTCCATCTTAATAATAATAATAATAATAATAAAGAAAAAGGTCTAGCAAATTTAATCAGAATTCCACAAGGAATTCTGAAACCCTTCTCAGAATTATTCAAAGATATATATCCTAACATACAGCAAGTCCAGCAAATCACAGACAGGATACATAAAAGCAATTCACATCTAGATTCACCAAAGAGAAACTAAAAATCCACATTCATATACACAAAAGATCTTAAGCCACAGAAGGGACAAGCAAGACTAGAAACAAAACAAAATAAAGCAAAATGCAAAACAAAACCCAACACACTGTAGAGAATAGACATTGGCAAGAGACTGACCACTATCTTTACAACAGAAATAATGAAAACTATAAGATGGTGGAATAATAACTTAAGTAGACAAAGAGAAAATAATTGTCAACCTAGAACTACACATCCAGCAAAACTATATTCAAGTGCAAGGATAAAATAAAGACATTTTCAAACAAACCTGAGAGTTTACCACCAGTAGACCCTCACTAAAGGTGATTCTAAAGGATTTTCTTTAAGAAGGAAAAGTGTAATCCCAGACAGAGCTGAGATGCAAAAAAGACTGATTATGAAGTATATTGATAAGTATATGCATAAATCAAAATAACAGCTGACTGCATAAAATAAGAACAATAATAATGACAATGTCTAACTTGTGGAGGGAAAGAACAGCAATTTAGAGATCTAAAATATGGGACAACAGCTTTCAATTTGGCAGAGGGGTGGTCAGTATGAAAGATCCTTGTTTTATTTACAAGTATTAAATTTATTAAATATTTAGATTTTAAGTTAGTATACATGTTTTAGTATAAAGGTAAAATTGTATGAATCACTTCTTTTTAAAAAAAATTTATTATTTTTTTTTGTTAAAAGAAAATGAGATGGGGTGTTACCATGTAGACCAGGCTGGTCTCGAACTCATGACCTCAGGTGATCCACCCATCTCAGTCTCCTAAAGTGCTGGGATTACAGGCGTGAGCCACCACACCCGGCCTGTATGAAAAACTTCTAAGACACAGAGGGGAGAAACTAGAAAAAGAAAAAGAAAAAATAATTTAGTCAATTATAAAAGTGTAGGGGGTCGGGGGGGAAAAGAACCCAAACAAAAAATAGAAGAGCCAGGACAAATAGGTAACTAGAAAGCACATATAAGATGGTAGAAGTAAATCCAAATATATCCATTATCATAATAAATAGAAAAGGGTTAACCTTCTCAGTTAAAAGAAGTTTGTCAGATTGTATTTTTTTAAAAGCAATTAGCTTTATGTTGATTTTAAGAAACACACCCCAAACCGTAAGACACAAAAATGTTAAAAGTTCAAGTACAGAAGAAATATGTAGTAAACCCCCAGGAAATGTAGCCCACAAAAATACCAATAAAGAGTTTAGAATGAATGTCTTCAGCATTTGACTTCTGTACTTCCCTTTATTCTTAAATAGAGACAGGCTAAATTTCTTTTCTTCTGTTGAGATATGAGTAGGATTAGGAAGTGATAGCCTCTTGATCATTTAAGATTTTGCCAGTATGGTATACATTTCTTCAGTTTCATAGAGAATAAGTTTTTCCTTACTTACTTTTGGAATTTTTTCATGACAGAACAGAGTAACTAAAAATACTTCTTTAGCCAAATACATAATACCATATTTTATTTTTGGACATTACTTATCACATAATGGTATAGGTTTTACCAAAACTAACAAAAGCTGCTATAGCTATAGTAACATCAGACTAAACACTTCCTTTTCTTTTTCCTTTTTTTTCTTTTTTTTTGAGATAGAGTCTTGTTCTGTTGTCAGGCTGAAGTGCAATGGAGCGATTTCGGCTCACTGCAACCTCCAACCCCTCGGTTCAAGTGATTTTCCTGCCTCAGCCTCCCGAGTAGTTGCGATTACAGGCCCGGCTAATTTTTGTATTTTTAGTAGAGATGGGGTTTCACCATCTTGGCCAGGCTAGTCTTGAACTCCTGACCTCAGGCAATCTGCCCACCTCGGTCCTCCAAAGTGCTGGGATTACAGGTGTGAGCCATGGTACCTGGCCCAGACTAAACACTTTCTAAGGAAAAACATTGGTAGAGATAAAGAAGAGAGCTATATAATAAAATGGTTTATTAAGAAGATGTAACTCTGAACTTTTATGCAGCTAATTATAAACTCTCAAAATTATAAAAATTGACTGAACTACGGAAGAAAAATAGAAAGACCCAATACATTAGTGGGCGATTTTAATATATTTCTGTCAGAAATTAATAGACCAAGCAGATAAAAAATCAATAATATAGATGATTTGAACATAATAGGCTTGATGTAATGAACAGTTATAGATTACATCCAATAATTCAAAAATATTGAATCTAAGCACATATGAAATATTTATTTAAATTGGCTACATGGAGACTGTAAAATTCTCCTCAATAAATTTCAGAGAATTGATGTCAAACAAAGCTTATTTTTGGACCAAAATGTAACCAATTTAGAAATTAATAGCAAAAAGATAATTGGGAAATATTATACATTTAAACAACATATGGGTTAAAAAATCATAATTCAAAAGCATTAGAAACGAGTGATAATAAAAGTGTTATATTTCAAAACATTGGAAGCAGGCAAAGTAATATTAGAAGAAAATACAATTATTTAAATATGTTAGTAAAGAAGACTAGATAGTAAATTAAAAACACAAGAATAGCAGAATAAGCCCCCAAAACGTATAGGAAAGAAAATAAATAATTTAAAAAAACCACCCCGCACACAAGAAACACTAATAAATTAGAAAATAAACATATAAAAAGAATCAACAAAGGTAAAAATTTGTGCTTTGAAAAAAGTTAATGAAATTGATAAGCCTCTGGCAATATTTGTCAAGAGAAAAATGAGAAATGCATTATAAATGATATTAAGAATTAAAACAGGGACATAATGAAATATAATTTTTTATGCTGACTAGATTAAAATGTGTGTATTATATATATTTTAAAGTCAATAAATCTGGATATCTAGAAAATATAATTTCTTTGAAAAATGCAGTTTACTAAAACTGACTCAAAAAGAAATAGAAAATATAAATAACCCTATAATCTTTAAATAAATTGAATTAATAGTTTAAAGTTTTCCCACAAAGATAACATCAGAATAAGGTGACTTTTACCAATACAGTTATTCAGTGGGGGCAAGTAATTTAAATCCTATGCAGATTCTATCAATGATTAGAAAAAGAGAATATTCCCCAAGTGTTTTTAAGAAGCTAGCATAACTTTGACACTAAAATAAGGTAAGGACATTATAAATTGGAAAAAGGGAATTTCACTTGTGATCATTGAAGAAGAAAAAAAGCTAAATAAAATATTAACAAACAAAATTCAGCACTGTCCTGCACTATACTAAAAACAAAATACATTATGACCAAGTTGCTTTTTAGTCTCATAAATGCCTGGTTCATTTAATATTGGAAATTTGATTAATGTAGTATCACTTCAGCATCATTGAAAGGAAATATACAATCTTCTTAATAGCTGCAGAGGAGATAATTAATAGAATTTACTATCTGTCTCTAATTTAAACCCAAAAACTTTTACAAACTAGGAATAGAAGAAAAATTGTTTGACTTGATAAATGTATCTGCAAAAATACTAAAATATGGCAAATATCATACTTGATGGGGAAATGTATGAATTTCTGTTACCATCAGGAACAACCAAGCATATCCAGCTTCTGTGAAGACTGAAGCTTACACTATTTTGGGGGCTCTGATTCATGGGTATTAGCATCTACTGACCTGTTGATATCACCTCCTCTTATGTTTGCAACTCCACACCTATTTTTTTTTCTTTTTCAACCCTTTTACACCTCTGTAACCAATATTCCTCGCCTTAACTTCCCTTTGGTTGAACTATCTGAAAACTCAAGCTTCAGAACTACAAATAAGAAATTATGTATTAAAATGAGTATGAGAAAAAAATGCACAAAAAATATTGGAGACTTCGAGATTTAGGTCTTTCCATTCTGAGATCTTTTAAAACAGTTTATTGGAAATGCTTCCCAATTTCGCTAGACTTCCCTTTCTGTACCTAGAATACTGCAAATTCTAATAACTCCTGGAACTCACAGGGGCCTATGCAAATGAGGGTCTAAGCTTTATTTGCTTTCCAGGAGCCTAAGCTTTATGTCTTAGAGATGTAAACTAGTGCAATAAGACAAAAATTTAAAGTTCAAAAATTTGAAAAAAAAAAAAAAAAGGAACAAAGCCATTACTATTACTAGGTGATACAATTGTTCACATCAAAATCCCCAAATAATCAACAGACATCTTTTTTGGAATTAATATGAGAACTTAGCTAGCTTGCCGTTTTAAAACAATGTATAAAATTAATTTGCATGTCTGTACTTTGGAAATGATTAGAAAGATGATTTAAAAGATATCATTACAACACCCCCCCCCCAACTTATCCCAACCAACTAACCAACCAACCAACCAACCAAACCAAGCACCACCTAGGATTATATCTTGCAATAGATGATCAAGAACTTTACATAGAAAAGTATAGAGTTTTATTGAGGCCCAGATGGGAGGATTGCTTGAGTCCAGGAGTTCAAGACCAGCCTGGGCAACATAAGGAGACCCTGTCCCCACACACACACACACAAAATTGAAAGTCACTAGCAAGAAATACGATGTTCATGGATAGGATGATTCTGTGTCTTAAAGATGTCAGTTTTTCTCTATCATTATCATTGCATCATTGTAAACCTGCTCCTCTTTCTCCATTTATTGTTTATAGGGAGTTGAATTTGTCAAATAAATATCTACAGTGATATGTATGAAGCAAAGGGAAGAAGTATTCTTGCTGACTAACTATCAGACCTCTTGCAAACAGGATGCAGGTAATGAATAAGAGATACTACATTTTCTTACTTTTTTTAGGTTAATAGGCTTGCTCCATTTCAGCCACTAATTTTTATTCTTGATTCAGTGTCACTGATATAGTTCAGCTATTCCTCTTGGTTTTCATATTTATCCATATTCACATCATTGTAAATTATAGCATAATTTTACATACTTTCATAAATTATTATTTTTTGCCACTATTAGGGACACGTTACATTTATGTTAGGAAAACCTGGAAATGTGTTTCCTTTGCTATTATTTATATCTTATCTTACTAAGGTAACTGCACACCATTAGGGTTGAGGCATATGTGCTCACTTTAAAGCAGCTGGTATTGTTCCTAAGAAGTTGCACAAGCCCAGGCTTTTAACTAAAGTCAGAAACTTTTCACTGACAAAAAAACTACAAATGCTCTGGTAATGGTAAGAATGATTCTGTATTAGTTCTCTGTTGCTGCTGTAACACATTACCGCAAACTTAGTGGCTTAAAACAGTACAAATTTATTATCTCCCAGTTAGTTCTGTAGGCTCAGAAGTCTGACACAGTTCTCACTGGGTTAAAATCTAGGTGTTGGCAAGTTTGCATTCCCTTCTATAGATTTTAGAGGAGCTTCTTTTTCTTTTCCCTTCTAGCTTCTGAAGGCTGTCCGAATTCCTTGACTTTTGTTTCTTTTACTCCATCTTCAAAACAAGTAACAGAGGGTTTAGTCTTCCTCACATCACATCATTCCAACCTCCTCTTCTGCCTCCCTCTTCAACCACTATGTTGGATTTTATTATGTTGGATCCTGGATAATCCAGGATGATCTCCCTTTCTCAAAGTTCTTAATCACATTTGCAATGTTCCTTTTGCCACCTAAGGTAACCTTCACAGGTTCTAGGCATTAGGACGTGGACATCTGGCCAGGAATAAGGGCAAGTTCTCTAACTTCCTGTTCCTTCCCCCTGCTCACTCTTCTGTGGCCACATTGCCCCACTCCAGACGTGGTGTTCACTTACTCTTCCCTTGCAGTAAAATGCTTTCACCCAGAGATTCTTATGGCTTACTCCCATACTTTGTTCATTTCTCTGTTCAGAAATCCTGCTATGAGCACTATACCTGAAATTTATCCTATGTTTTCTAACCTCTTACCATGTATTGTTTTTCTTCATAACGCTTCCCACTCCTCTGCGGCTCCCCTTCTGAAAACTAATCTCCCTTAGGTTAGAAACTTGGTCAGCTTTGTTCCCCTGTGTTACTCAGGGTCTAGCTCAGTGTCTGGTGTATAAGATCTATGATGCATGAATGAGTCAATTTTTTAATTTCATCCCTTAATATCACGCTTTTCAGTAAGCTGGATCACAGTGAAATCTCTATAATTTGAATTAGAGTTGAATTCAAATTGAAGTATGAGAGCTATTGCCATTGTACTTTGTTATTTCACTGAGAGTGCTATTTGAGTAGCCAGATTTTCAACTGACGTCAGTAATACTCAGTGAGATATATTAAGTATCCTTCTATCCTACAATCAACAATCCTACTGTCGATTGTATTCTTTTGGAGTAGGGATTGATAATAATAGTGATAAAGACAATTAGCATCATCTTTCCTAGCATTTATGGAATACTTGCTATGTGCCATTAGTAAGTCCTTTACTTACATTATTTAATTTTCTCACTCCATGAGGTCATAAAATACACATTTACTCTTTTGTCTACCCAATAAAACTTACCCCCTTACCCAACATTTTCTTTAGGAAACTGCTTATCTCTATTCCAACCAGATGGTTTTGGGAACATCCCAAGAACAATCCTTTGGCCTCTTGGCTGTCAGGATGGATATTTGAACCAGTCTGGATCAATCAGAATCCTTTAGTGGGAATCTAATAGTTAACACATAATCCATATCAAGCCAGAGTTCTTCCTCTCAGTTTTTGGGCTCTCTATGGGAAGGGAGACTTTCTTTTCCTCTTGGGTCCAAAAATGGCAAGGATATGGCCTGGAGCTACCATGGCGAAGTAGACAGGGGAAATGGATCAGGGACAGGAGTCGGATGCCCTGACTTATACAGTACGTGGTCACATTTTCTCCACTTGATAGATGAACAAACATGTCTCAGAGCTGTTATTTTCCACAGAACAGATAGCTTGTAAATAGCTAGTGAATGGGGGGATTTGACCCCACATCAGCCTGATTTCATTATCTGTATTTTCTTTTACTTTGCTGTATGCCCTGATATCTTAGCTACTTACCCTTTCCATTCTTCCTGGTTTCTGAAAACACATGGCAAAGAAATGTGCACTCTTTATTTCTAAAAAAGTGTTTCTCGGACAGTTGTTGCTCATCTGTACATCTTATACTTGATGAATATGTTGATTTGAGGGCCTGGGGCTGGAATGACAAACAGGCCCCATCTTCTCTGTTAATTCCAGTGGAATAAAGTGGTTATTTACAGCTTTGTGTTGAGAAGGATTCTGAGGCTTCATCTGGCCTAGCAGAAAAGGAAGAAAATGAAATAAGAATTTCTCAAAATGTTTGAGAAATTTGAGAAATTTGCTCAAAATGTTTGATAACTCAGATTGCATTTTGCAAATACGGAGGTATACTTTTCAGCATCCAAGAAGTGTTGAGCTTGTTTTTCAGCTCAAAAAATATTTTGTTAGCTAGAAATTCAACTTGTGAACCAAACCAAATTCCTCAATAGTCTCTTCACTGTGGAATGATGATATCTTCTAATGAACATCTTCCTTTGCAAAATGCCCAGACAGTTACATGCTACAATGACAGGAACAGCAACATGACCTGAATTTAGATTCTGGAATGGAATGTCATTTATTGGGACCACTGTTTTTTTGGTGAGAGAGATGCTAAATCACAGCCACCCTGAGAAAATTGTCATGCACTGGTATTGTTGAACATTTTCTAACAATCAAATTGGGCCTCACATTTTGTTGGTTGGAAGTTCCATTTCTTCATCTTTGGTCCAAGTTACTTAGCAATGACCAATCAAACTATGTGCCCACCATATTGTTTTGCATGTTTGACTAGAACATTGACAGATTAATAGGAAGGGTAAATAGCAGAGCACAACTGCGGGGGCCCAGTGTGGGGCAGCAGGATTGACTGCTCCGGACTTTGTTGTGTTTGCTCAGAGGAAGCCGCAGCAAAAGCCTGCTGGGATGAGGTGACCTGGGTCATGGGCATTTGTTTTTTGTCTCTATAGAAAACAATTGTTTTCTCAATGGAAGATGGCTTTTTTCTGAATCTACATGGTTCCACCGATGAGGAAGCATTTGCCATTCCAGGGTGCTTGCTAAAACACAGACATACAAATAAAAAGGCCACACAAAAGTTCTAATTTACTGTATTTTTCAGAGAATCCTTTGACTTATGTTAACTAGGAGAGAAGCCTAACTTTAGAAATTTATCTTGAGGGTCTCTGAACTTTCATCTATTTACTGCTAATTCCCAATATTTGATGCTTAGAAATTTATGAAGTTTCAAAATCCAGCCACCTTTTCTTCCCCCACAGGTCATTATGGCAGAACCCATTAATGTGTAGCACTGTTGATTTTGTAAACCCTGGCTTTGGTAAAAAATTTATTTTGATTTCAAAATTGCTCTAATCTGAATTGATATGGATGAAATACATTAATAATAAAGGAAAACCTACTTTAGGTAAGATTTAATTAATCAAAACTGGTGGCTTGATTTAAAAGCCAGAACTATATTTTTGGTTGATAGATTTATTTGAGCATGACAATTTTATATTTACAAATTTATCATAGTTCTTTAGAAAAAGGTTTACTTTAAATAAAAGACTCCAAAGGGTTCTACACACATTTTTGATGAATTACTATTGATCATTCTTGATGTATTTTATACATATGTATATACACACACACACACATACGTGTATACATACAGACATACATAGAGATAGAGACAGAATAGAGATAGAGAGGGATCAAGAATATGCATACATATGTATGTATGTATATATGTATATATACATATATACACACATCCCTATATATATATATGTGTGTGTGTATATATATATTCAATCAGCCAGACTCTCTTTCTGATCTGGTAGGAATGAAGAAGGGGTCGAATGGCACTCTACGATTTTCTGTTTAGCAGAATTAAATTACCAAACAGAAAATCATAGAGTGCTATTTTCCAACCTTTTCTTCCTCTTCACTTTCTCTTCTCTTTACTCCTTTCCTTTTTTGTCCTTACCTTCCTAGAGCTTAGGGCTTAGGAAGAGCATAAAAGTGTTATTGATGGTGGTTGTGGAAATCATTTTAGTTTCTGGCTGCCTACTTCAAGTCCTGTTGAGCTTTTTGCATTTCTAAAACTGAGAGACCACTGTGGGATCGGGTGGTAGATGGTGGTGTACTCTGAACAAATGAACAAAAACCCCCCTCCAAAAATCAAGTAATAAAAACCTCTCATTGACATTGAAAACTAAGACTGTTCTGAATATTAAGAAAAATCAAGACATCTGCACTAATTTTATATCCTTTTTATTCATTTAAAATTAACCAGTGTTTATTATGCACATCCTCTCTGCTACTTAGAGGATAGTTTCTGCCCTCAGGGAGCTGATAGTCTTGGGTTGAGGCATGGGGAAAGATAATCATCCAAAGAATTACAATATACTATTCCCAATTCCCCATAGTATTAATTACAATATAGAGAGGAGGAGTGAGACCAAGAGACTGGCACTAACTCTATTTTTTCAAGACACAGGAAGATGCACGCCTCTGTGGTTCTGTGACTCTTTATTTAGGCTAATTTAATCTCATTTGCAAGCCATAAAACAAATAATGATTGTCTAGTTGACACCTGTACTATAGAAACATGGTAAGATTGGGGAAAGAGCATTGGTCTATAAGTTTTGTAGGGCAGAAATCGCACCTGTCACATTCACTGTATGGAATGAGACTGGAACTCCATGAATATCTGTGGAACGAATGGTCAGATGAGAAGCCCGAAGACTGAAGTTGCCACT